TTGCCACAACTTAGTGTTAGTTTTTTTTTTTTTTTACAAAACTTAAAAAAAGGCGTGTACGTACACACTACAGTCTTCCCCCAGACACAAAACACCCTCATTATGACTGTATAAGGGCAGAAAGATAGCTACCTAGCTTGCGTGCATTCATGTTGAGCGTGTGCTGTGCATTCATGTTGAGGGGAAGAAGGGAGGTCTTTTCTGCATGTGTGTGACCATGTGGAAACTTTTCGGGCCATCGTTTGCGCCCCGACCAGCTACAGCTTATCTATCCGTCTGTCTGCCAATCTGCCATTACGAGGATAGATTGGCAGACGGACTGACCGATGGCAGACAACCTGACGCTGCACACATTGACGAAATCACTGACGGCCTTATGAGACCGGCAGATTGGCAGACAGGCGGATAGATAAGCAGAGAGCCAAAGAGATAGACGGACATACAGACAGACAGACAGACAGACAGACAGACAGACAGACAGACAGATGGACAGACAGACAGACGGAGACACACAGATAAAAGGTCACACAGACAGACAGACATATAGATAAGCGAACTGAACAGACAGACAGACCGACAGACAGACAGACAGACAGATGGATCGATAGATAGACAGCCAGACAAATAGACAGAGACAGATAGATAGACAGACAGAAAGATAGACAGACAGACAGACAGACAGGTAGATAGATAGACAGATAGATAGACGGATAGACAGACCGATAGACTGACGGACAGACAGACAGACAGACAGACAGACAGACAGACAGACAGACAGACAGACAGACAGACAGACAGACACAGACGAATAGATAGATAAACGGATAGATAGATAGGCAGATAAACAGATAGATGGATAGACATAGATACTTGGCAAAATGAAAAGCTGACGGACTGACGTGACAGATTGGCAGACAGAAAAACTGATACAAAGAGAGGCGGAAAGACAGACAGATGCCAGGGTTGAGGCACTGTCGGAGCAGCGGTCTGGACTTGGCCATTTCTGTCTCTGGACGAGAGCCCAACGCCCGCGCCTAAGCAGGGTAGCGGCCCCAGTATAACCTTTTCCGGGTTGTTTGTTGAGGATTCACGGCCTCTCTCCCTCTTTTGGTGGGCGTAATCAAATGAACTGAGTTTTTCTTATTGAAAAAAAAAAAAAAAAAAAAGACGGACTGACAGAAAGACAGGTAGACAGGGATACACACAGGCAGAGACTGACACAGAGAGAGGAAGACAGACTGACAGAAAGACTGATTCACAGAATTCACAGACCAGCAAACTGGCGCAGACTGGCAGACAGATAGAACGAAACACAGATGGAGAAACGGAAACAAGGTCAGTTGTAAAAAAAAAAAAAAAAAAAAAAAAGGTTAGACCGGCCAAAAAAAAAAGACTGACGTTGGCAGACACGGAAAAAATATACAGTAGGTCTTTTTTTTACCTGCGCTGTTTGCGCCGGAGAACTGAAGCTGACGCAATGTCGATGTCCATCCAAACTGCCATGCAAATACGAGAAAATTGAACACGAGACAGAGACAGCCAAAACAATTTGGAAGGGTGGGAAGGGGGCG